TAAATTGGAAGTCATGGGACTTCACAAAAAAATTTTTTTTAAACTGTTCGGTGACTTTTGGCCACCCACTGTATAATATAATAATAATAATGTTAATAAATTATTTTAAATATTAACATTAGTATTAATATTATTTTTCTTTATTTTTATCAAAAAACTTCAAACAGTTTTAAATGAACTACAAAAAATTAAGCTGATTTTTTTATTAAAGAATTAATAATGAATATATAAAATGAAATTTTACTATTATTACTTAATACAAAAAAGTTTTAGAATGCCTTATAAATTCAATTTTTAAATTAATGAATTTTGAAATTTAATTTTTAAAATCAAGTTTTAAATTTACTTATTTAAAGATTTTGAGTTTCTAATATATTTCAAAACTTTTTTATATTAAGTAATTTATAGTAAAATTGTATTATATACAGTACAACATATATTATTAATTTTTCAAAAAGAAAAAATCAGCTTAATTTTTTGTATTCATTTGAATTGATTAAAATATTTTTGAAATCCTATTATTTTAATGTCATCAAAAAATAAAAATAAATATTATTCAATTTATTTTAAGTAATTAAAAATTATAAGATCAGTTTTAATTTAGAATAAAATATATAAAACTGTTGAATTTAAATTCTTATAACTTTTTATACATAATTCTTTTTAAGTTTTAACCAATAATTTAATAAATTTTATTATAAAGAACAATATTGCTAATTTATTTTTTAAAAATTATATTTTATAAAAAGTTGAAGGGTCTCAAAGTCACATTATTTTATTGTTGAGTATAAATTTCCTGAATCATAAAATGTTAAATAAATTTTATTATCATATATTATTAATTAATAAACACAAAAAAATTATGACAATAGTTAATTAAATTATCTAAAAAAAATAAACTGTTATCACATTTATTGCTTTTCTTTTATATACAATACTTATATTTGAAAATAAATAATAATAATTTGGAGTAAGGTTAAAATATTCTTTAAGTTTTATATTGAAAATAAAGAAAAGGGTAAAAAAAATCGATACAATGTTTATTTGAAATTCTAGATAAAAATTTATTCTTTTTACATGTTATTGTAGCAAGTATTATTTAAATTTTATAAAGTAATTTATCAAATTTATTATGATCACAATTCAATTAGATCTATTAAAAAAACTTAATTACTGTGGTAATCCGGTAAATTAGATTAGTTATCTTTTAATAATAAATACAATATGAACGTCATTAAAAAATATTAATAAGAATTTGATCATGAATCGTATTACAGCTCATATCTTAAACTATTTAGTGTTGAATTTTTCGTTAAATGGGTTTATAATCATATCGTGTTAGCTATTTTTTCGGATAAAAAACAGCCATAAACAGTTTCTTTTTTTATATTTTTAACATAACAAAAAGGTAACTGTATTAACAGGAATAACAGGAATGACATTAATGTGGCTCAGGTAATCCTTAAAGAACAAAATTGATAATTGAATCGATTTTTAAATGTACGACAAATATTATCTCAATATTTTTCCTCGGCAAAGCCATTTTATTTACTGTGGGCGTAATTATTACTTCGGCTTGTGGGTATATTATAAATAGATACACTTTGAGGAAGCAATATTTTTTTTCTTCAAACGTACCTAATTAATAATTATGGATGAAAAAAAAAAAGAGAATATAGCTTTCGAGCAAATAGAGAAGGCGCTTAGTCGAGTCACCATTGAAATCGACGAAGTTAAATCGGATAGTCATATTAAAGAAACCAAATCAGGTAGCAAGGATGAAGAAATTAAATGGGATGACATTTTTGTTTCTCCGCTTAAGGAGGTTGTGGTAACATGGAAGCAAACCAACAAACATCTGGGGCTATGGGAAATAATTGATGGAAAAAAGGAGCTAAAAAAAATAGATGATATATACTTGGATAAAAGTTACAAAATATATCCAGAAGAAACCTACCGTGATAAATTTTATTCGTACTCACGCTTGGTCATATCTGATAGAAAACACCTTGTGTTACATTTAAATAGAAAAAAGCCATATAACATAGGTAAAACCATGCTTTTTATGATTGAATGCTAATAATAATTACCGTACAATAATATTATTAATACTTAATTCTTATTCAAAATTCTAGGTATTTTTAATTTGAACATGATAGAGAATAATTTAGACACGATGGAGAATAATTTAGACACGATGGAGAATAATTTAGACACGATGGAGAATAATTTGGACACGATAGAGAATAATTTAGACACGATAGAGAAAATTTTAAACACGGAAAAGGAAACCAAATTAAATGCACCAAATTTTGAGGGAGAAATGGACAGTTGGGGTTTTATTGAAAATAGTGACTTCGCAGTTATTAAGGGTGATCCAATATATCGGGCATACATATTTTCCCATAGCAAAAAGGATAAAGATAAGTGGAACTGTATAAAAATGATTGAACTAAAGCACTTCACTTGGAGTCACATAAGTTTTGACAAAAAATTATTCTTGGCCATTGAAAAAACCTTGATTTTATCACAATGGAATTTAAAAAATTTAATCCTTGAACAACAATACATGATAGAAAGTTCTAAACGCTGTAGAATCACACAGAATGGAAACTCAACATTGTTGGTGGTTCAAGAAGTAAATACGTTATTCATTTATTCAATGGCTCTTGGAATGAAGTTAGCACAATGTAAGTAATTTCTATTATTAACAAAGAAATTCGAACAGGTGAAGCTAACGCAACATATTAAACAGTGAATGAATCAAATTCTAAGATATATTTTATTGGCACCGATATTGGCGAGCGAATGATGATATCAGGGACATGGGGAAGTTGCAATATAATTGATCCTTTCGAATCACATCCTCAAGATAATCTTAAAGACGCAAAAAAACTTTTAAGGGGCGTGGAAATTAATATGCCATATGTCGTACAATCAGATAAGATTATTGGTTGGTTTAAAAAAGATCTATGTATTCGGTCTTTAATACCAGATAATTGGATTAAGTATTTAAGGGAAGAGCTAAGAGATTTTAAGGGTTTCGGTTCTTCCTACGAAGCTTCGCGAGTCGAAAAAATGGTTGACGAAATCATAAAGAATACCACCGGAACAATTAATCCTCCATTCAAAGACAAAATTGAACCCTATGACGATGGAATTGGTTTTCAGTACAGTTGTAAAGGGTATTTACTAGAATGGATTGTAAGAATCGACGCTGATTATGACTGCGCGTACATTGAGTTGGCGGCACACAAATCCGAAATCAAAACGGAAAAGTGGAAAAGAGTAGAACCGAAGAGAATATTTTCCAGACATAGAGAAAAACATTATGGAAAAGAATTCATTATAAATTGCAATCCACTTGAGAATGAAAATCTAGCTATGATAACACGCGCTGGAATTTATATATGGACGGTGAATTCAAAAAATGAAACAAATAGAATTCAATTACTTTATTTCTGGGATAATGAACTAAAACGTGAAAATTTCGAAACACCATGGATAATCAACATGTTGAAAGAATTTTCACGTAGTTGCAAGCAATCAGGAAGTTATCTTCCAACGATGAACTTTGATTTAGTACTTAAAGATTCTCATCTTGATCCTATGTGTCGGCAGGAATGGATAGACTGTTATAAACATGACAAAATGTTTCTCGCATATTATGGAACATCATGGATTAAGAAGCTCGTGGAGTCAAAAGTAGATATTATTATTAGCGAGTTATTCGGCGAATGCATTTATTTGAGCATCGAAAATGGATGTATAAAAAACACAAAGTTCTTGGATATTATTATCACGTCGTTTCCAGAATTATCTCAAAATTATACGGCCTATGTCTCAGAATTCCTAGCTCATATAGCTTTTGCTTTGCCATTTCATAATAGAGATCTTGGAATAGTCGATTATTATTCCACTTCGTCACATCTTGCTCATTGTGGAACTTATATCCAAATTTCGAAGACAACGACAATTGATTTAATCGTTTCCCGGTTAAACTTTCGTAAAAGGATTCATGATTTTTTCGACAAAATGAACTTATCTTTTTTTAAATCCGAGACCAATTTAACGATTCAATTGATGGTTCCTTTACCAAAATTTGTTACCTATCCTTATCCGTACAACTCTTTAAAAGATTTTATTTATCCAGCACCAAGTCCCTTCGTGATGTCCTATAATATCGATCTATATAAATTATGGATTAGTGAAGCCCTCCTTAATTTTAAATGGAATGCATATGGAAGAAAATATTATTTTGTTATTTGGGGAATATATACGGTTTTTCTTGGTTGTTTTGTAGTTACAGCAATTTTGTCTAACCAGATTTCATGGGGTATTCAACAGTATTTATTAAAAAGTGTAATCATACTTGGATTTTATCATTTACTTTTTGAATTTAGACAATTGATATTCTCTCCACTTTTATATGTCACCAGTTTTTGGAACTATTTGGGTATGTAATGAAAAATGATATTC